GCTATGGTTTAATATCTATTTAAGGGCAGCCCGGGTGGCTCAGCGGTTTAGTGCCACCTCCAGCCCAGGGCCTGATCCTGGAGACTGAGGATCGAGTCCCACATCGGGTTCCCTGCATGGAGCCTTCTTCTCCCTCTGCCTGTGTCTCTGCCTGTGTCTCTTTCTCAGATAGATAGATAGATAGATAGATAGATAGATAGATAGATAGATAGAATCTTTAAAAAAATCTATTTGAGAAAGAACTTTTTTTTTAAAGAGAGGGCAAAAAAAAAAAAAAGAGAGGGCAAGAGACTGAGGGCAGGGGGAGGGACAGGGAGGGAGAAAGGGAAGTGGGGGGGGAGAGAGAGAGAGTATGAATCCCAAGGAGACTCCATGTTCAGCATGGAACCAAGGCAGGCCTTGATCTCATGATCCTAAAATCATGACCTGAGCTGGAATCAAGAGATCCTAAAATCATGACCTGAGCCGGAATCTAACTGACTGCACCACCCAGGCACCCTGAGAAATAGATTATTGAAACTAGGAAACTAACAAGGCCCTTGTAAAAATAGAAGCCAAAAATAATGATGACAAATTCCATGAGTATTTCCCTTGTTGCAACTTGAATGCCTAAACAGAGCTGTGTGGGAAAATATCATTGTTTAAAAACCACCAAAAACCTCAGTGGAAGGTGGAGATTTAATTCTTTGAGTTCATGGAAATTTATTGTCATCAAAAAAATAAACTCATGATTTACTGGCCTTCTAAGACATACAAACAACTTAAGTAAAAATAACTGTCATTAGCCTATCACGTAGGAGTTACAGAATTTTGGAGCTCACAGGGGACTAAGGATCACCTACCTCAACCATCTCACTCTGCGGCTGGGGGCACCAAACTGAACTACTTGCTTACGGGTCACGCATCCGGTTAAGGGCTGATGTGCTTGCTTCGGCAGCACCTATACTAAAACCGGTTAAGGGCTGAGCAGGGCAAGAACTGGGGGCTTGGATCCTAAATGTGGCTGCCCTCCTGCATGCTAGGCTGAGGCTCACCCTTTCTGAAGAGATGACAGTTCCTGCGTTTGCAGAGAGCAAATGAGCCTCAGGCAGAGGAGACATTCTTTAGGACCTTATGAACTTCTGAGAATATCAGCCATCACCTCGCCTCCCATCATCTGAGTTTTAGCAAATGGTTTAGGAAAGTAAGTTGTTAAAAAAAAAATGCTTCTTTTAGTGACATTAAGGCCAACTTCACGGTATTCCTCCTCAGCTTGTTCCCTTCCTCTCGACTCTTACATTTAACATTCTCTGATTATTCAAAATGCTGTTGATAGAAGGTTTTGGCCACTAAGCATATTCCTATGTTTAGAGAATCTCCTATTTTATGAGACAGGGCTGACCTCCCCACTATATAAGTTCAAGTACCTGTGAGATAACAGGAAATATATATTGATCTCTGCCCTGGTTCCTGGCACAGAGTTCTTGAAACCTTGGAATTTCCTGGGTGTCAGGAGTATCTTTGGTTCTAATGAGGTGACTCTGGCTCCCCGCAGGGAGTTTGCTTCTCCCTCTGCCTGTGTCTGCCTCTCTCTGAGTGAATAAATAAATAAAATCTTTTAAAAAAAAAAAAAAGGAAAATTATAGGTAGACCTCTGCCTTGGGTAAGCTCACAATAGAATAGAGCTTTTTATTTTTTTGACTTTTAGCTGCTTTTATCAATCAGCTTGGGCTCCTAGATGGGGGCCAGTCACCATAAAGACTGAGCCCTGATCAGAAGTCTGAAATTTTCAGCCCCACCCCCACTCTCTGGAGAAGGAGGAAGAGTTGAAGTAGAGTTAATGATGGATCATGCCTACACGATGAAGCCTTCACAAAAATCCCAGTATGGGGACCTCGGAGCTTCTAGGTTGTTAAACAAATACAGACACCTGGAGGATGACACACCCCAACTCCACAGGAACAGAAGTTCCTGCACTTGGGACCCTCCCAGACCTTGCCCTAGGTGTCTCTTCATCTAGCTATTCATTTGTATCTTTAATCATATCCCTTAACAGGTTGGTTAATATAAGTGTTTCCCTGCGTTCTATGGGCTGTTTTAGCAAATAAATCAAATCTGAGGAGGGGGTCAGGAGAACCCCTGATTTATAGCCAATTCAGACAGAAGTTATGGGTAACCTGGGGACCTGCTACTTATGATTGGCATTTGGAGTGGGATGGGAGCAACCTCGTGGAACAGAGCTCTTCAATTCAGATCTGATGCTATCTCTAGGTAAGACGGTATCAGAATTCAGTTAAATTATAGGACACTGAGCTGGTGTCACAGAGAATTGTTTGGCATGGGGCATCCCCACCCTAACACACACATTTGGTGACCAGAAGTGTTCTGAGTGTTCTATGTAAGTAGTAAAGGAGAAAATTATAGAAGAGAGAAGGTATAGGTTTTTCCGGTACAGTTCTCAAACTTTCCTGTCACTAGGGTGTGAGCACAATTAGATGCACCAGGCTCCAGATTACAAAGAAGTCATGGCCACGAAAACTCCTCTGGAGAGGATGGTGGCCCTGGTAGCACAAGTATCTCATGTGAAGAATCAGCCATCACATTGGCCCTGGAAGCAGAGTTTGGAATCCGTGTTATCAACGAGGCATGCTCTGTGGGGTAATTTGGAGCTCTGTTTTTGCCTAACAAACCTCTCTGGCTTTCTTAGAAATTCTGCTTAAGTTACCAAATTCTGCTTAAATAGCCTGTTGCTCGAAACTAAAGAAAGCTGATAAAAGCAGCTAAAAAAATAAAAAGCTCTATTATATTGTGAGCTTACCTAAGGCAGACGTCCACCTATAATTTTCCTTTTTAAGATTTTATGTATTTATTCACAAGAGACAGAGAGAGAGAGAGAGTGAGAGAGAGAGAGAGAGAGAAGGCAGAGACACAGGCAGAGGGAGAAGCAGGCTCCCTGCGGGGAGCCCGATGCAGAACTCGATCCCGGGACTCCAGGACCACACCCTGAACCAAAGGCAAACGCTCACCCACTGAGGCATGCAGGCGTCCCCTACCTATAATTTTCATATTATATAGTGTATCAGCTCATGAAATGTTATCTAACATTTACTAGGTTCTTAGTAAAGGTGGACTCGAATTGGCTGTTTTGTACAAAGGTAGTACTTATTCGCTGTATGCTGCACGAGGCTCTGTGGAAGAGAAAGAAAAAGTAGCATGAACAGGGCAGTGCACCTGCTAGAATGTGTGAGCAGAGCACGATTAACAGAACTCAGCAGAGGGGGCAGGAGATTTTTCATGCTTTTAGCCTAGTCCTTAGCCTAATAGAACTTCCCAGCTATCTTCATCTGACTGCAGACCTGTTTTCCTGGGAAAGCACATGGTCACATCTATACGATTGTTGACAGTAAATTCATTAGTGAGAAGACAGACTGTTACTGAGTGATATATTTTATTTTGAATGTAGAACTCAGCTATTGGTCTGGGACAGGCTAGTTTAGGGAAATGATTAACATTTATTTACTGGGAAATGTGCGGAGTTGAAAAAAAAAAAAAAGGTATATTTAAGTGCTATGGAAAAAGCAGCCAAACTTTGAAATCAATGCCTGCTATATTTGGATAGAATGAATTTATAAAACAGTGCCATAATGAGGTAAATTTATGAAGTCAAGGAAGCTGAAGCTTATGGGATCCCAATTTGTTTCTTCATATTTTAAGAGAGTTGGTTAAAAAAAAAAAAATTCTTTTGGTTTATCATGGAAACTCCAGGGAACTAGTGGGTGAACAGGTCTATCTTATAAGAATATAAATACATCATCTTTTTTTGTTGGCCAGCATCCAAATTATGTGCTTAACATTAAAATACTGATAGATGACCAGAACATAAACACAGTAGCTGTTACTCTGAAATTACGGTAGCATAAACTGGTACTTAATCCTACTGTCTTCACTTCGTCACAAATGTGCGTCAGGGAAGGGCTGAAGACACATTAGGAGGGAATGCTGGGGCCGGAGAAAACTGAGGATTTCAGAAAGTTCAGTCATTGCTCCCTCAATTTTCTCACGACTTCAGCTGTGAAACTGGGATAAAATTATGTCATGGAGACTCTGTGAGAACTAATGTGATTATCTTTGTTAAAGAACCCCAAAATGTTTCAGTCACAAAAAGAGTGACTGAACCTGAATTTGCAAACTAGGAATTTAGGCAATGGATGGTTAAAAAGCATTTTGTTTGGGGAAAAAACAACAAAACTCCAAAATATTTTACACTGTAATGTATATTTAGTGAATCTCATAAATGTTTAATTTTCTTTATTTTTACTCTCTCATTCTGGTAGAATAGCTCATATCTACATACTGTTTTACTCATAATTTTGTACCATAACTTTTACATTTCTTAACCCTGGACATTTATCACTTTAAAATGGGGAAATCTACGTAAATATCTAATTGACAGGGTGGTCCCTGCTTCAAAAAACTGTACGGTGTGTGGCAGTGCTAATTATTTTGCATTCTCTAATGTATTATAATTTAGTTCAAAGTCATAGAGAGTGAGGTGCTCTTCTCACAAAAGACAGAAATGTCTTCCAAGACATGCCTTTCCCCACATCAAAAACTAGGTCATTCTGGTTCAAATATAAAAATGGTTTATGTTTTCTTTTTTTTTTTTAGATGCAAAGAATTTTAATTAAATTGGCATAGTTAAGACCAAAAAGATAAAGTGGACACTGCCAGCTTATCTTCAGCCATTGCCTTTAACAGGCTAGGGAACACAACTTGAAACACAGCTGAGTCTTGCTGTTCTGAGAGAGTGAAGGGATTTCCTCAGTATTTAAATATATTAATATAACCCGTTATATAAATCTAAATATAAAACCAATCTATAAATTTAGAGGTGGCATTTACCATCTCTGTGAAAAGCTACACATCTCTAATCAATTCCAATCATATTTTTTAGAAGGGGAAAACAGTGAGAGCACTTGCTGAACCAGAATTACTATCAAAGTTCAAAAAACTGATATTCATTTAACCACAAGCCAATCTTATTTAAATCAGGACTGTCCAAGAGAAACCTTCTATCAGCCACTCATGATCTGAATTCTGGTCAATGAGATCAATTTAAATATGGTACACATAAAAAAAAAGTCATGAGACATTTTTGTTTTGTAATAAATAAGGCGATAGCCAACTATTACTCATTGGTAGCTTTTTTGAGATAAGCTATTAAGTCTGCTCTTTCCCCTGTCTTCTTAAGGCCAGCGAAGATCATTTTTGTTCCAGGGATGTACTTCTTGGGATTCTCCAAATACTCCATCAGGGTCTCCTCTCCCCAGGTGATGCCTTTGTTCTTGTTGGCATCCGTGTAAGAAAATCCAGGGGCCTGACCGGTCTTCGGCCCAAATAAACCGTGGAGGTTTGGCCCAGTCTTGTGCTTGCCTCCCTTTTCCACAGTATGGCACTGCGCACACTTCTGAACAAAAATCTTCTTGCCCTTCTCAACATCACCCATTTTTCAATCGCCTTTCTGTCGCGCGCGCGAAATGAAGAAGCCCGCTCGCAAGCCGGACGTCCCGCTCTCTGGTTTATGTTTTCAAAGACTATCCTTGGTGGTATAAAAAGCATTACCTCTCGGGGCACCTGGGTGGCTCAGTTATGTGCCTGACCCTGGATTCTGGCTCAGTCATGATCCCAGGGTCCTGAGATAGAGTCCCACATCTGGCTCCATACTGGGTGTGGATCATGCTTAAGATTCTCTCCCTCCCTCTCCTCTCTAAAAAAACAGAACAAAAATCCAAAACCAAAAAACATTACCTTTCACATTTAACGTAAGCACTGTGCCTGGAGAATAAAGATCTGGGCTTCAGGTCACAGTTTCATCAGCTGTTTGCCTCCCCAAACCTATTTTCTTACCTGTATCATGAGGCTGCTGTGTTGCACTGTCCCTAAGCTGCCTTCCAGCTCTGAGATTCTCTGATCTACATATGTCCTGTTTGCCAGTGAGATAAGCTCCCTGGGGGCAGAGATCATATCCTAGGGTCCCTGTGCAACCTGCATGTTACGTAGCAGAGTGTGTGTGATGGATATTTGTAAACCTGAGCCACAACTGCATTACCCTATAAAACAAACATGCAACCAGGTTGTCAAAGCTCAGAAAACTGAGCAATGATGGCAAATTAACCATTATTTAGTACTGACAATGGGGTCTTACTGTCCTACCTTTCAGTCAAGCAAGTGCTCTAGGCAGTAAGAAGCTGGAAGAAATGACTAACAGGACAGTTTCTCTGAGAAGTACTCTGTCCTTCTGTCTCCATAAATCATCACAGTATTTCCAACTTTGAGACGTACTCTGTACTGTACGCTGCCACAGGCAGCACGGCGAGCAGCCCCTAAAATACCCCCACCCTGCACCCTCCTGGTACTCACACCCTCATGCAGTCCCCTCCTACAACAGCCCACGTGCAATCTATGTATTTTACTGCACGCGGGGGCAGTGATGGTATGTCACCTCCTCAACTAGGGTTAAAAGCCTGGCTTCTATCTAGGGAGTTCTCTCACTTGCTCACTTTCCCGCCCTCATGGGTCGGCTGCCCTGGGGGAAGCTCCAGGAAGAGGCCCTCCTGGTGAGGAGCAGAAGGCTGCTGCCAACAGTGAGTATGGGAACAGATCCTTCGGCCCCAATCAAATCCTCAGCTCCACCAACAGCCTGACTACAACCTCACAAAGAGACCTGGAGCCAGACCCACCCCACTAAGCTGCTCCCACATCCCTGAGACCCAGAAACTGTGAAGTCATCAGTGTTTGTTTCAAACTGCTATTTCTCGAGGAGATGATTATAACTTTCTAACTGTTGTCTTTTAGAAAAGTATCACACCCTCTAATCCATCCTTGCTGCACTCTGTGTGTGTGGATTTAATTGATTACATGTTCTCTTGGATACAAATGACAGTGCCCAGCTTGCCTAGAGGCTTTATACATTTAATTCAATTCAACACATTTTGTTGAGCACCTACTGTATGTCAGGCACTTATTTTTTTTATAAGGCACTAGGAATAACAACAACAACAAAATTAAACAAACAGGGTCCCTAACTTTAAAGAACCTACAGTTTAGAAGGTAAGTTAGACAATAAGCTACCGACTATAAATACAAATGCTACAAAAATAAGGGAGTCTAGAATATTCTAGGCAGTGGATGTGGGAGAGGGGCACCTAATCTATTCCATGGGCTTAGGAAAGCTGTCCCTGAATGTTTGAGTAAGGGATTTAAGAAAAACTTCATCAAAAAGATGTTCATCAGGATAAAAACAGTCCAAACATCAGAATCAGGAAGCAAAATGGAAGAGACATGGCTTGGTAGTAATATACGTGAAAGGAGCCACCTGGGAAAAACACTTTGGTGTCATCACTCAAAGTACACTACACAGAATTTGGAGATACTCCATTATGCTCCTTATTCATAGCCCTCCATAAGAGGTGGGAAAACCAGAACCAATCTAGAAAAGAAAGACCAGAGTTGAGGAGGGCCCAAGAAGAATAGCTTCTGAAAACTGGAAGGCCTTGGTGTATGAAGACTCAGAGGATATAAAGAGTACAAGTAGCTAGAGGTCTGTCATACTGAAGAAAGATTACTTTCAGACCTAATCTCGTTGACTTATAGGTAGAGTATGAAAGAGACAGAAGAGGAATAATTTACAAATTGCCAGTGCTATTTAAGGCAGGCAGTCTTCATCCTCAGAGGGGACTGTATCTAAAGTGGTTGGCCACAGACGGTGTCCAGACGGCCAGACGGACAGTGTGGCAGAAGAAAATCCTAACCCTGGAAGGGAGTTAGCATGGATGACTGTACCAAAGATACTTTTAACCTTGATATTTTATGGCTTGATGACATGACTATTAATGAGTCTTTCTTTGTCCTAATCTATACCCTAGTGATACCAAGTGGATCACATTTCCCACAAGGTTCTGTCCTGTATGGTAAGTAGAATGAAAACAAGGACATTGGGTTTTGATATCTTCAAAAGAGGCTAACTGTATGGTCTTCCTAACAACTCTGCTCCTAGCAGCGAACTATTTTACAGTTCACATTTGTCTCATTATTTAATCTAAATCTTATGTTTAAGGCATGCAATTGTTTCTGTAAAATCTGTAATAAATATGGAAGAAAATATCTCTATGGATATTTGGTTAAGTTCAAAGGCATTTCTTGCCTGACTTACTCAAGATTCCCAAAGTGAGAGCTCTAGCAATCTGTGTTCATATTTTCGACTGCAACATTGTAGACACAGAAAGATACAGATTTCTGAGGACTCTTTAACCTTTACTTGTAAAAGCCTAAGAGGAGGAGCAGTCCCCAATGTGAACAGAATTGCAGTGTTTTGACACATATATCCCTATCACCCGTTATCAGCTACATCTTTAAATAACAAAGAAATTATCAGCAAGTCCCGAAAGAACTATGTGGCACTCCACAGAGAGTTAGGATCTCTAGTGTTTCCAGCTGGTTATCACTGCATAAGAGAGAACAGAGTTGAACCTATGCTTGTGAAGTAGTTCCTCAAAAAACAAAAACAAAAAAACCAGAAACTTGAGATTATGTGAAATGGTTCAATCCTCTGACTCACTACAAGGTCCTTGATTTTCCAGTACAAAGAAAAATCCATTCTGAGGAGCTTCGTATGTGTAAAATAAAGAAATAATTCAGATTTTGAACAGTTAGTAGGAACTTCAAACCAATTCTGTTGGCTTAAATAGATGCTGATCTCTAGCTTTTATTAGTCAAAAGCTAAACCATCTGTTTGAGTAGAAACAGATTTTTGCCACAAGGGAGACAGAGTGAAAGTGATCTCACTGAGAGCTGCCCGGCCTCAGAAGGTCAGTTAGGTGCAGCAGGCTCGGCAACTGGCTCCTTCGGGTCAAGGAAGTAAGTACTAATATCCTGGAAGATGCAGTGCAATCTGATTTGATGGAAACCTTTGGAGGCTCATGAAAGTTCCCAGTGATTAAAAAGTTTATTAGTAAATAGAATATGAAAAAGACAATCTATTCATGAAAAAAAACTGACCTGTGCAACTGCCAATAAATCCTCAAAGCAGTATCACTCTCAACAAAGTGGCAAGTCTTTAGGTACAGAAAGGCAGATCCACCATTAATCTTGTCTTTTCCTTTTCAAAATTCTATTTCCAGACTTTGTAGAAGAGGGTTCGGAAAAGGCTACACCAAGTGGGGATAACCAAACGGTTTGGGAGGAGTTAAAAATGGTTACCCTGACAACTTCACCCAGAGGAAAAGAGGGTGGCAAGAAACAGCTCTGGGACATCTACTTTACCACCGTGCCATCAGCTTCTACTTCTCCCTCCTTCAGTTGCCAAGCGCAATAGATTTTCCCTATGAAATTCCTTTGGACAGTTTCCTTTTCTCTCCATTCCAGGCCTTTCACAATCTTACCCCCAAATTGGTGCAATGCATCCTAGCTCATCTTCCCTCCTAACTTTTTTTTTTCCTCTTACAGACCTCAGCCAGATTAACAGTCTCTTACCAGAGCTTTCACAGTGTAATTTTTATGCTGGAGAGCTTAAAGTCACTTCCTTAACTTATTAATGACCTACATCATGTAGCTTTACTGCATCCCATGCAGTAAACACTATTGCTCATTCTCTTTGACATGAGTCCTCTCTTTACTGTCACCTTCCAGACATTTTATTCAGTCCCAACTTAGCACAAGACAGAGTACCAAAACAGGCAGCTGCTGCTGATTTGTCCACCCAATATCCATGATTTCCATACTAAGAGAAGTCCACATTATTTTCAGATCACAGTGTGCCTAGTTAAAACATTGTATTTCTGACCCTCCCTTAAAGCTAGGAGTAAGCATGTGACACAGTTTACATGTCCCATGAGACATCTGCAAAAGTCTGCTAGCAATAGCTGGACAATGTTTGCTTTCCTGATACATGCCATGCCTTCCTCCTTTTTTACTATCTGAAACATAGATATGAGGGCTTGAGCTGCAGCAGCCACTTTGAGAACATCTGGGAAAGGCCAAGAGAATTGCAGCAACCTTAGTCCTAGCGTTTTACACTGTTGAACCAACACCAGCACCTAGACTGGTTCATTGCTGTGGACTTCTCAATATAGAAGAAAAAAAATGAATCCAATTCATTTAAGACAATGGTTAGTTAAGGTTTTCCGTTACTCGTAGCTAAATGCAATCCTTATGTAAATAAACATCCCTCTCCTTATCCTCCTGTAAGTTTCCTTTACAGTCCCATTCAAGTTTTACTTCCCAAGGTGCCAAGATTCTAGTATCTATCCTATTCTTTAAATTTTTGATCTGATGCTAGAGGCATTATGATTTAGAACTATCCAGTAATGAATTGATTTCTCTTAATAAATCAGCATGTTATTTATGGTTTAGAACTGACCTACATCATCACTTTTCGTCTAGGTCTGGCTTGCAATTTAGCATCACTAGAGAAAATTAGCTAAAAGGGGATCTAAGGAATTGAGCCAA